AATTCAGCAACCGCTGCAGAGTTATAACATGCTGTAAATGGCAGAAATTAAGGCATCATACCCTGACGCTGACTGGCAATCAATTATAGTCATGTGTGATAGGGTAGAAGGCTATATGGTTCGCGACTTGCAACATGTTTCAATAGTGTATGGAATTTCCAAAAACTTCAGTATCTTTCATATGATTGCTTACAATTATGTGACATATCTTTATTTGTTTATTATGTGATGCTGATGTTGACAGCTGCAGACGCCCTTATCTATAGTTATTAAAGCAGAGCTTTCATGGGTTCACTGGTCATGAAAAAGCGAAAGAATTTCGACTGCCTTTTGATAAATCTACAAAATTGCAACAAAGGAACACTGGAAAACGTCAAAGTAATAGGGTCTAAAGGGTTGGACGTCTTTATCTTTGTTTTATCACACTGAATATTAAAGATGCGCCAGAGATATACCTATTTGAAATGCAAATTGTCCAAGGTACAAATTTACCACTTTTTCAGTCATTAATAGACAGTTCTAAAACTTACTTCCAAAGGGATGCCACCTCCTCCACCCGCACTTGAACAATAGGATTTTTAAAAGGTGCGATACTGATCCATCATGACCAGCTCCGATTCCAAATTACCTCCATGGTGACATGTTAAGCCATCTTTATTTTCAGCACTTCCTACGGCAGCTTTTAATATCTATAGGCAGCTAGATAAATAGTATGACTGAATTGTGAACAAAACAGTGAAACTAATCAACGCACATCTTTTCCACTACATGGATTTCGTTAACGTAAGAAAAACCATAATTTCATAATGGTCTTCCAAAGCCAAAATACATTATCTGAACATAATACCAGTCAAACGGCTTGCAAAACATCTAGAAGGTCATGGCAGACGAATGGAATGCGACATGTTATTTTTCTGCATCTAATATGGTTATTAAAAATGATTACAAAGGTAAGGAGTAGCATTTAAAATTGTCATAGATTCTGGGCCATTCGTCGTACAATGTTTGAATTTCTTGATTCGCAGTTTGAGCGCAGTGGCGTATAAGCCTTTCCTCACTGGCTGCAGCAAACAAAACCAGGGTTAGGCAGAACGAACTTCTGTGCAATTTATTGACTGTAGTTGACGTTGCTGCTGTCAGTGAAGAAATGCATCAGTGAGCAATAAACGGTCTTTACTCATTGCTTTAACGTCACTGAATTCAAACCGTGATTCACGAAATTCAGGATTCGAAGCGTAGAATGACAGGTTTATATATCGCGGCTAGAGATAAGCACCTATATACCCTGAAAATGACATTTATATCAAAATTTTGGCATAAACGTAAACGTCGATAACTCACAAGGCAGTAAATCAACTAGAAGCAATCATTTACCGACTGAACTGTAAAGACGATCATAAACAACCATGTTATGCCTCATTCATTTGTCACTGGCTTTGAAACTATTATATGGCGCATACACTACACAGAAGGAAATTGCACAGAGCGAAAAAGGGGCGAACAGAAGGTGATAAATCAAAGCTTCGTTTGGCAAAAAACATCCCCTTCGACTTTGGAAGTGATTCGTTTGACGGCAAAAATTACAGAGAAACTATGGTCTGGAAACGGCATACTGCTACAGTAAGTCACAAGCAGTGGAACGTCTGTGTCTCCATTTATCATAATGATGAAACAAGTTTGAGTGGATACAGTTTGGTGCGACTGGGTGGTAGTGCAGCTGTACGTTTCCCAGAATCAAAGACGATGTGAAAAACTATTAAATTAGATCATGACCAAGCGTTAGAAATATCGTTATGTAAGGTTTCCATTAGTTTCCTTGAACTTGGCTCACTGTAAGCAGCATTTCTTCGCGTGAAGTTCTGCTAAAACGGCAATATCGGTTTCGATGCTAATAATAGGAGTCACTGAATGTTAAAGACGATAACAGCAGCTATGTAGCGAATATTAGATACGTGCTAAATTTCTTTCCATTTAAATTGACAACGGTTGAAATTTAACCTACTTACCCTCGATTGCAGATACGCTGCAAAGTCAGCCGACTTTCGCGTTTTTCTTTGTAATGGGATGCTTTTATATGGATCAAAAATTTATGCAGCCAACAGCATGACTTTTCTGCCATAAGGAAGAAGAAAATTTGAGACAAAGACGAACGATATCAAAATCATATCAAATTTACGATCATTCCTTTGGTACCTCTGGCTCCAAAGCGACAAATTGTGGTGAACGAAAACGAAGCTAGGTGAAAACTAAGTCACAGGGCTTATAATTACCTACGGCTAAATTAAGTTCAGGCAAGAAACAGAATTCGACGTTGTTTCACTCGTTCGTACCTCTGTGAGGCCCTGGTTCCCAAAGTCCTTAATAATCTTTGAAATTGCAATTCAAATTGAATCAGGACCATAACAGATAAGAGTGTATTCGTTGTATACAAGTTTATAGCGCGTATGCACAAACGATCATTCGTTATAGTTTAGACACAATGAGAGAAAAAGAAAAGGAGTATTTGTATTAACAGATTGATTAAATTGGTAGAGACGGAGTACTGCGACGATTACGACGGATGAAGGAAGGTGTTGATATTCCAGAACATCATCAGAATTGAAAAAAGAATGTAAGGGAAGATACCTCATTGACTTCAACGCTTCAAGGGCATACTTTTGGGGGAATTTTTTCTCTGAGACACTTCAAGAGCATGAACCGTGAGAAGTAGTAGGATCTTACGCGACACCAATCACGTGCTTTTAAATATTTGTTTCTTGCAGCTTCTTTACTTCAAGTTTAGCAGGTTCTATCCAATGTTAATTTGTTATTTAAATTGTCATTAATTTATACTGTTACTTTTGTCACTCACTAAGCGTTTCACTGACTTGATTCAAATGAGAGTGCAAGAATGGCTAGTTGGTGAAACTACGTCCAAAGTTAAACTATTGAGTTTGATGGTTGATGAGTTACTTGAAAAGTTATTACTTCGAAGAACGAAGCTGATAACACAAAAAATTCCTACATTTAAATGAGCAAGAAACAAAGTAGAGCTAATTAGTGCTGAAGAATAGGGTTCTTCGTTACCTTAAGGGCAAAGCCAAAACATACGCACGTCAACAAAAGTTCAGTAGACACCATCTTTATCACATAAATCTTCTTCACAGGAAAATGACAGGTGCGCAAAAGTGAAAATTTTTAAGGTCTTATGAAACCGCGTCATTCAGGTATGCCAGAAAATGCTTGGAAGCCATGTTGACGCTTTGGAAAATTTTAGCAAACGTCATCCCAATCAACCAGACCAATATCAAAACATAGTGAACCTGTGGAAATCGATATCAGAGGCCAGAATACCAATGCGCTTTGCCGTTTTGACAACCTGTTCTATTGTTCGAATGCCACAGCCATGAACCCTGTGATGAAACTGCGTCTTTACAAAAACTTATCTTCCAAGTACTTATGTGCTAAGTGTTCCAAAGTTTACAAAACTTTTGAAACTAACTGATGGTGATGAATAATTGAACGATGAAAATGAGGCACCACGCAGACACCATGCATCACTATCGCGCGAACCTCCCTCAGGGGAAAAACAAAGACACATATAGCGATGGGTTTCCGTCGCTTTTGGGACAGAAATACAGCAGCCAAAGTTTCTGATGACTTTCAAAGGAACCGACAAAACCAGTGTTTTAATGAACGGATAACGCAACGCGTGCGACGTTACTTCTGACTGCAGCTCGGCTGATAGCAAACAGACTTATAGTTCGCCTAAACGGAACAGCAAATTTTTTACGGCTAAACCGAGAAGAATTTTATTTACCTCTCGCCGTCTGACATGGTACATTAAAGCACGCGACGTTGCCGTTTCCGGCGAAATGAAAAACTGCCGAAACAGCTTGCTTTATCGCCAAAGACTGAACACGCGAGACGTGAACGGATAGCGACGAAGAAGACGACAGATAGCAAACCGAAGAAAAAGGCGAATGAGACGTGCAAGTGCAAGGAGAAGAGGAAAGAGGACGAGGCACGATCGTTCACTTCCCTCTTTTTTCTTCTCCTCTCATCCGCTGTCGTCCCATTTCCTTTTTAGTCGTCAAGTAATGCTTAGCACATACCCTTGTTTGAGTGCACCCGCTTCATCCAGGGGTAGATCTTAGCTGCCGTCGATGTGCGGTTGTCGATGTTTGAAGTCGAGCAGGTGGGCTCAGCGTCGGCTACACTTCCTCCGCCCGCCGCGCTATCTTCCCCAGAATCATCAGTGGCATAGGTATCTAGAGGAACGTTGTTTCTGCTCTGCATGCTCTGATCGCCACCGCCTCCTTGCTGGGTGCCAATGCCGCTGCGGTCATGGTCGAAGCCGGTTATTCGAGAAGGACTGAGGACGACGTTTGCGGTAGAAGATGAATCGACGACGGACACGGCGTTAGATGGGGAACTTCGTTGGGTGCCACCGCCGCCGCAGATGACTTCCTGACGCAAGTATTTGTCGCAGAGGTCTGCGGCGGTCACCGGTGCACCGTAGTCGTTGACCGCGACCGGATGCTGGTGCTGGTAGTAGTGCTTGTCCAAGTACGCGCAGTGGTTGGCGGTGGGGGCATAAGGGTCGGGCGACTGGGCAAGACCTGAGTCAGCGGTCGACTGGCCACCACCAGCGTTGCCGGCGGGTCCAGCGTTGCCGCTTCCGCCACCTCCACCGCCAGTGAGGTACGGGTGGCCGTAGAGTTCGC